TTTTTTAAAGAACGATGTATTTCTTTATGTGTTTCAACATTGCTTTTCAAAAGCTCAGTTTAAGAACTGTTTTATATTATGAAGCTAATAAAATGTGTATATAATAAATTTGACTTGGAACAGTCAGCTTCACCATCGTTTTCATTCTGACTTTTTATATCATGCAGCGTGTGATCTGTAGAAGAGATGCGAAGAAAGTACGAAACCCTCTTCAAGTTTTGTTTTGGGGTATTTCTCGCCATCTTTCTGAATATGTAGAGAAATACCAAGAAGTAAGGGGAGCAAAGAGAAAGCTACATTTTTACTAATAAGTTTCAGTTTCTCCACCATGAAACATAAAAGATGAAATTATCAACATCACTGCTGAAAATACAAGCTTTATTTTATTAATCTAATAATAGCTCATGTTAAAAACCTTTGCTTTAAAAATGTAAACATAATAAATTTTAAAAGACAAGTGAAAATTTAACTGAGAAGAAGGCATTTGTCTATATGAAACAGGGGATTGTAAATGATAGACTCTTTAAGGCAGCATTTACCCAATATTTGTGACAGACCAGGCGCACTGCTTAAGTACCTCACATGGACAATTACAGGTAAATGTGAGCCATGAGTTTTTCTCTGCCTTTGGCAAAACTGTTTTCACGTTTTTAATTGAGGTGAAGGTGGCCAATCTTAATTGAATTGAGGTGCGAGTTGGAACAATAAGACACTGTAACCTCCATCGCGGGCAAGTCACAGCGCCGCTGACAGCTACAGTGTAACAATGCCTGTCAATAGTGCTCAGGCGCCCTTCAGACCCAGGTGCTGAAGAATCAGCATTTCCAGGACAGTGCTCTTTTGTGCAATACAGAAAGCTCGCTTACCCCACTGAAGGTCACACTCAGAAATAGCCCACAGCACAGAGGAAACAGTTACTGGGACCCCTCTCATTTTTGCCTTAAGGAAAAGTATCTCGGAGACTCATCGGACGCCTCCCTGAAACCATGAGTTACCATCCAGAGAGCCCTCCGTCAGCCCCGAGGTCCTGTGGGCAGATCCCAGGTCGCTGGTAAATCTGTTACACAGCTGAGTATCCTTGCCCCGGACAATAGGCAATCCGCCCCCCTCGTCTGTTTATGGAGCTGACTTTTGCTGGCTCCTGTAAACTCTCCTCTGAGATGCCCTTAATTCACCGCATGCTCTTTTCCTGTCCTGGGACTATCAGGTTTTAACTTCTTTAACACATCTATTTACATGAGAGTATCATTGCGACACTTTCATCGTCACGCTGCTGGGAAGTATTCTGCGGAATTAGAAGGAGCTAGGTTACTTTTCCTCCAGCTCTGTGGAGACATTGTTATGTACCTCAGTGGTTTTTAAAGTAATTCTGGATTTTAAGAATCCTCTTTACTGTAAGGATTTAATTTCTGGCCATTACACAAGAATTCCTGATTTTAAATTTTTTCTTTGATGGACTATTTTGGAAGAGTTTCACTTTTTATTTTAATGTTTGTATTTGCATTTATTCATAGTATTGATGGAAGAAAGACTAGAAGAACGGGAACCGTAAGCGTATTAATATTCTGTTAAAAAGCACGGTCGCATTGCTTTTCTGTGCCTGTTACAGGCATCACTCACCTGCTCTATTCTGAAGGTACTACCTTGTCTTGTGCGCGTGGTTGGTTTAGACATATTAAGATCATCCGTAATAGTTTTCATGAAATGATGACAAATGACCTGAATTCAGAGAAAATGTATGTATTTTCATTTTGTTTCAACTGTAGATATTTTAAATAGGTCTTTAAGACAGTGAGCTGAACAGAGAGCCCGTTTTTATTTTTTAAGTAGAACTTGGTGGTTTATTTTCAGGTGGTTCCGTCCTTGATATTTAAGAAAGGGGCTATATAAGCCATGCTTTTCCCAAGGAAAGACTGGTGAAAAGGAAAATTTCTGCTTTACCTCATTTTGAACTGTTGTTTCGGAATGGTTAGGCCTGTCTCTGTGAGAGGAGGGACTCCGAGCATGTGCTCTGGACTCACCCCCCGAGTTCGCGCCCGAGCCCTGCTTGCTGTGAGCTGGGGGCCTCCCGCAGAGCAGCAGTGACCGAGGCATCCGCTCCGGGGGCTGTTCTGAAGAGGGAACGAGGTAATTCATGTGCACCTCTCAGAACACTGACCATAGCATGGTACGCTTATGTGATATTTAGCTGTTCCTTTTGGACTGAATTAGGAACCACTGGGAATGCGAAAATAAAAATGAAATAGAAGACACTGCTTGCACCCCACCTGAAACACCTGCTTTCTCACACTACCTGAAATTATACTGATGTAGGTCTATTAACAGAACATCTAGCAGCAGCTGTCATCCACTTACATATCTGAATTTTTAAAAACATTGAATTCCTTCCAGCTTGTAGATGGTATTAAGAGTGGCAGAGGGCGCCCGGCCGGGCATGGCTTCGCGGTTGAGCATCGGCCTAGGATCCAGGCGATCGGGGTTCGATCCCCAATCTGGTGTGCAGAAGGCAGCCGATCAATGACTCTCTCATCATTGATGTTTCTCTCTCTCTGCCTCTCCTTTCCTCTCTCTGAAATCAATAAAGATATATTTAAAAAAGAAAAAAAGAATGGCAGAGGGGAGGGAGGTTGAGGGAAGGGGAAGGAGGCAGTTGCTGTGTAGGGCACATGAAAACGGGTGGCGGTGGGACCAGGGTCCAGGGGAGAGTGACCTAAACCCGAGGCAGGATCCTCAGGGAGCCTGCCGGGGGGAAGCTGGCTGAGCCTGAAAGACGTGCTAGGGCTGTGCTGACTATCGCAGTGCGGGAGGGGCGGCTGCTCTCGGCCCCGAGAGTCCACTGTGGCGGGGAAGAAGGGAGAGAAGACGAGGACATGGCCTTTACAGCTTGAAGAGCGACAGCCTGGTGGGAAGGGACCAGGACGTGAGTGACTGCACTAGGCAGGGGCATGACTCACTCCTTATCAAATGCCCTGGGGGCCTGGGGCCTGGCAAAGGAAGGGACTGCTAGCGTGGGGGAATCGGGGTTTCACAGACGATGGAGGAAGGTGCCACTTGGAGAACAGAGAAAGCTGCCCCTGCGGAGACGGGGCTGGAGGGACCCTGCTTGTGGCCGCAGTGTCATGGTTGGGTTCCGACGGGGAAAGCCCATCTCCGCCCTTTAGAAATCAGGATTGGCTCTTGAACAAAGGCAGGTCTTTCCAAGGCTGGTTGCTTCCCTAGAAAAATTCTCATTACCACTCTTATGAATATTTGTAATCTACTTTTTATGGGGTAAAAAAAAACAAAACAAGGTCATAAGTCAATAGTATTTTATTACAACCGTGTCGTGGTAGACTCTGGGAGCATTCCTCCCTCAGCACGTGCCTAGCAGAGAGGAATACATAAATGAGGCCTTTGTCGCACTTTAACCGTAACCTTGAGCTTCATTCATAACAATCAGTGTAGGCGGGAAATCGGTGTCTTTCAGCACTAATTTTACTGTTTCCCCCCTATTTATCTTGGCATGTTCTTTAATGAGTATTATTTTATTAAGTGCTGAGAATGTTTCTGTAGATGAGCGACTTCTTCACATCGTGAGTTACTAACAAAAGTGAAGGTTGCCATCCCAGCCTCGTGGCCTTTAGGGCTGGAGGAAGTTCCGAAGCTCACCAGGCCCAACTTTTCCCCTAACGCACGATTTCTTTTACTGCATCTTTTTTTTTGG